TGTAAGTCACATGGTTATTGCATTAATATCAGTGTGGTGTAACTCTCATAAGGATACGTCAGTGGCTTACTATAGCCTGTGGTTCGCCTCTGGTACAGTAGTCTGTCTCAGTGATGGTGTGAGCCGCGTCAGTACTCCGCCCATGTGACTACCCGCCTCGGTACAGCCACAAGTGAGGCCTGGGTCATGATGTTCTACTGTTCTGTAATAATGACGCTCATGGGTATATAGTTAAGGAAAAATCTGCCCTAGTTTAAGAGATAGCGGAAATTGGGGTTGGCCAGTACAATGTTTAAAGCTTAAACAGCTCACTGCATTGGTGTAAGAACTTTAAACAGGAAGTTATATAAATTAAATACTCACCGAAAAAGTTAACTACACCAATTAAATAATTTCTTTTCAGTAAGACTCCACATTACAGGAACCATTTGTGCTTGTACAACATTGCACAAAACGCCGTAGTGCATGCAACAGTTCTTTGCTTTTACAACTCAAAATTTTCATTATATTACTGTAAGAACTTTAACACGACATCACGCACCAGGAGGATGTTCCCTTCCTTCACTTTGTTCTCTGGGCCACGACCTAACCAAGCGGCTGTCAACTGAAGCAACGAGCCTGAACTTAGCCCCCCACACCAGGAGGTCAGGTCAGGGTCAGCACGTGTTGGCGGTGAGACATATTATCCTAAATCTTTTAATGGAGGTTTGAGCAATAAAAAAAAATAATGTTGCTATAATTTTTACAATCTACCATATTATAAGTCTTTGAAGTATGCTGGACTTATATGCCTGATATATAATACTGTAAAGGTTTTATCTACCAGTTATATATATTTAAGCAGAAATATACCTTTAAAAGTACTGTATAAATAGCACGAATTATATCAAACTATTAGTCTCTATATGTAGTCTGGACTTATAGAATAACATATCAATAATGCTCCACATACACCACTTATACTGTACAGTACCCAAATATCAAGTATAAAATTACAACCACTTAAACCATGAATGAATCCACACAACTACACTGCATTAATAACGTTATATTGTATCTATACCAAACAGGTTTTTTATTGACCCTTCAGTAGTTAACGTTGACCTTCAGTACTGTCGATCTGTAATCCCATCTGTAACCAGCGTAAGTTCCTCCGCGGGCTGTGAGAGGTCAAGATAGGGTCACGACTTGTAAGAGGGAAGACACTTTACGTTCTTGTTTGATAAGATGACTGAGCTTATTCTCCCTCGGGATATATAAGATAGTGTATATAACTGACCGTGTAGTTATGTATGAGAGATTGATAGTTAAGGTAATCATATAACGTTGGTATTTACTGTAGTTTAATTTACTATTACTAATGATTCTTATATAGAGGTTGAAGATATAGTAATGACATATATAAGACGAATGGTGTTATATATAGTTTCTTATTATTAATACCTGAATGATATATGTTCAGGTGAGTTCATCTTGTGGGTGATATACGGCATACAGTATTATGGTGTGTTGGTCACTTAATATACTGTACAACAAAACCAAATAGAATTATAAGAATTTGTGTTTATTGTATATCTCATTCCCAACACCTGAATATAACACACACACACACACACACACACACACACACACACAGACACACACACACACACACACACACACACACACACACGCAGACACACACACACACACACACACACACACACACACACACACACACACACACACACACACGCAGACACACAGACACACACGCAGACACACAGACACACACACACACACACACACACACCAAAAACCACAAAAAGGCAACGAGAAATTATTCACAACCTGCGTTAACGCTGGTGGGTAAAGGAATCTCACTAAATCAATCAAAATAGACACTCAGGATTGGCATTCATAAAGCTACCCGACGCAACAAAAAAAATAAAAAAATAAATAAATAAAATATCACATACCTGCAAAACTAAAAGTCCAAATTATAATAAATAAAAAATCGAAAAATCAAACACACAATTTCTTAATTTTTGGCCCAGTAATTTGGGAGGTTCTTGTTATCTTTGTCGTGGAGGAAAGTTCTTTTTTTTTCCCTCCTGTGATCGGGCAGAGGTTATCTCCCTACCTGAGGAAGTTTTATGAGCGTAATGAGTGAGGTGTTATCTTCATTATGGTGTGAGGAGGGGTGTGAGGAGGGGTGTGAGGAGGGGAGTGTGTCATCCTCCTGCACTACCACTTAACCCCCCCCCTCTCTTGCCTCACCCCACGTTCCCTCTCCTGCCTCACCCCTTAGTCAGGCATTTTTATGATGGGAAAAAGTATCCCAATATCGCAACCTAACCAAACCTAACCAAACACACACAACCAACCCCAACATAACAGTAACGTAAACCTAACCTTAACCTTGCCTTAAGTGAAGCTAACGTTACCTTATCAAGAATACCTGGAGTTAAAAAAAAATATATAAAAAAACCGGCACTTCAAAAGCAATGTAACCTAACCTGACCTAACGTCATTCACGTTGCAACACTACAATATTTTTTCACACGATACAATTTGTGGTTACGTAAAAAAAAGAAAAGAAAGGCCGCCAATCCTCATCTGGAGTCACACAGGTCATCATCATCAGCATCATCACCACCAGCGTTGTGTCGTGTCGTGTGATGGGTATGTGTGGCCGCAGGTGTTCAGACTTTCTCAGGGTGACCAAGTGACCGCACGTGTCCCAGCCAAGCTTACGACTTCTCAGGGCCGGATTCATAGGTGGGCAAAGTGGGCAGCTGCCCAGGGGCCTCCACAATCTGGGGGCCTCCACATGTGCGGTAGTAGCTATATCAGGGCTAGTCGACTTGAAACCACATGAATGACTCCAGTCATGTCTCACTTTTGTGTGTGTGTGTTGGGAATTTGTACACTATCAATAAATATACAGTTAATTAAAAATTTCTCAATGTTCTAATTTCCTCAATATAACTGCATATGGCTTCAAAATTCTCCAAAGAAGTGTTCAAATTTCAAAACTTTCCTGGGGGCTTACAGCGCCCCCCGGAACTCCCATAAGGTTTAGGCTCGCTTCACTCACCACCCCACCCTCTTGGGTTATAATGAGGGGGGGGGGGTCTCCACAAAGAGGCTGCCCATGGGCCTCCACAGGTCTAAATCCGGCACTGCGACTTCTTGCGGAAAATTCTCAAGCTTTCTCTTAGATAATACCCAGCGCTGCCGCCACCCTCACGGACTCACGCACACCCAGGCCACCACACACCATACACACGGCTCTTCCGTTCATAGTTTGTGATATAATAATAATAATAATAATAATAATAATAATAATAATAATAATAATAATAATAATAATAAATAATAATAATAATAATAATAATAATAATAATAATAATAATAAGTAATAGTAATAGTAATAATAATTAATAATAATAATAATTATAATTATATAATAGTAAATAATAATAACATAATTGCAGTTAATAAGTCATCAGTAACACGTGACTTTTATGGAATTAGCCCACCCGGGCAGAGGTCACACGGACCCACATCAGGGCCTGGGGCGAAATAATAATAATAATAATAATAATAATAATAATAATAATAATAACAACAACAATAATAATAATAATAATAATAATAATAATAATAATAATAATAATAATAATAATAATAATAAAGAACCATAAGGAAAAAAGATCAATAGTGAGAAACGATATATGTATGTTGTGTTGTCAAAGTAAGAGAAACAATTGAGACCCTGCAATTGTGTGTAAATGAGGTAGAAAGTCAGATCAGCAACCTGAGACTTGGTCACAATTTTTGTGACAGCAGGGTTTACTGTACAACCCATGTTGTACTGCTCCCCCATTATACTTATGTTTTTCAATTCCACTGTAATGTATTTATATATATATATATATATATATATATATATATATATATATATATATATATATATATATATATATATACTAAAAAATAATTAAATGAAATAAATAAATATTCGTGATAACCGTGGCAACATTGTGAAATGTTCTTATTACCACCACGCTATTGTACTATTCCAGATGATACTAACTGTTATATAATACTTCCTTAAGATAAATGTATAGTATATATCAGGTGCTCTGTTTCTGTATTTTTCTGGCTAAATAAACTGTTTCAATTCAAATTCAATTCAATTCATTATGCTTCCAATATCTTCCCAGGCGGTAGTTCCTCCCTGTTTGGTTAGTGTGTCGGGCTCTGAGTATGATGGGGAGGGAGAGAGAGAAAGAGAGAGAGAGAGAGAGAGAGAGAGAGAGAGAGAGAGAGAGAGAATAGGGGGCATGAAAAGAGAGAGAATAAGAAAAAATGAAACATGAAAAACAATAATAAAACAGAACTAACACACCGTTATTCTGAGGAAATGTTTGACCACAGTGGCGGTCAGGTGAGTGAGACCTAAGCCCCAGAGGAAACTTGTTGAGGTGACCAAAGAATCCAAGTCGGTCCTTGTACTGGGTGGGTGGATGAGTGTATGACCGACTGTTAAGAATAAAAATACAAACCCGTCACCACCTTGGATTACATGTCGTCAAAACCTAACCCAACCTCAGAAACCTAACCTAACCTAACCTAAAAAGAAACCCACAGAAATGCTTGTGTCTGGAGAAGGTCAAGTAACACCGTGAAACAAGTGGAAATCCGGCAAAAAACTCCATCTGTCATGGCTTTGACCGGGAGGTGGAGGTGGAATCCATTACATGAACAATTACAAACAATAATGTTATTCCTCCTGCTCCAAATAACACGAAAAAAATACGAACTAAAATTAAATATAAAAACCACAAAGGTAATAACACACTTTTACATTTCAAGATTTTTAAGTGAGCCGTATCACTGTCATGGTCTTCGCTACACATATTGGTTCACGGTCCTACGAGGTCTTGAAGATACGGAACAAATACACCGATTCTAAGTGATGATGAAACGAATACCGATATTATAATAGTGACTTTGGTCGGGTTATCAATCTTTATATCTTTGGTCGGGTTATCAATCTTTTTATCTTTGGTCGGGTTATCAATCTTTATATCTTTGGTCGGGTTATCAATCTTTATATCTCTGGTCGGGTTATCAATCTTTATATTTTACATTTCAAGATTTTTAAGTGAGCCGTATCACTGTCATGGTCTTCGCTACACATATTGGTTCACGGTCCTACGAGGTCTTGAAGATACGGAACAAATACACCGATTCTAAGTGATGATGAAACGAATACCGATATTATAATAGTGACTTTGGTCGGGTTATCAATCTTTATATCTTTGGTCGGGTTATCAATCTTTTTATCTTTGGTCGGGTTATCAATCTTTATATCTTTGGTCGGGTTATCAATCTTTATATCTCTGGTCGGGTTATCAATCTTTATATCTTTGGTCGGGTTATCAATCTTTATATCTTTGGTCGGGTTATCAATCTTTTTATCTCTGGTCGGGTTATCAATCTTTATATCTTTGGTCGGGTTATCAATTTTTATATCTTTGGTCGGGTTATCAATCTTTATATCTTTGGTCGGGTTATCAATCTTTTTATCTTTGGTCGGGTTATCAGTCTTTTTATCTTTGGTCGGGTTATCAATCTTTTTATCTTTGGTCGGGTTATCAATCTTTTTATCTTTGGTCGGGTTATCAATCTTTATATCTTTGGTCGGGTTATCAATCTTTATATCTTTGGTCGAGTTATCAATCTTTATATCTTTGGTCGGGTTATCAATCTTTATATCTCTGGTCGGGTTATCAATCTTTTTATCTTTGATCGGGTTATCAATCTTTATATCTTTGGTCGGGTTATCAATCTTTATATCTTTGGTCGGGTTATCAATCTTTATATCTTTGGTCGGGTTATCAATCTTTATATCTTTGGTCGGGTTATCAATCTTTATATCTTTGGTCGGGTTATCAATCTTTATATCTTTGGTCGGGTTATCAATCATTAGATTAACAACCAAATTAAAATTGTGTTTTAGAAATAATATAAACAGATCAAGACGTTAGTAGAGTCCATTACTGATACAGGGGCAAATTCATCACGAAAATCTGGACTTTGACGGAAGATTTCAATATATTTAAATGCATGTGTCAATTGTTCAGGATCTTGGAACTACGGGTCGTGCGCGTCTGTAGTCGCAGTAACAGCCATCGTGGAGGTAGAGGGAGCCATAGAACCTCGAGATACAGCCAGAGATTGTCAGGAACGTGAGGTATTTACCACCCATAAAAGTAACCCATAGATAAAGGGGGTTCTGTGGTATAGAGGGAGGTATGAGAGGGAGTGGGCGTGGCAGGGAGAGAGTGAGAGAGGGAAGGAGCTGCATTCTTCCCCCCCTCTACAGCAGACAAAGGCTATAGCACCTTATTCATAGCTGGGATGGAAGAGGGAGATAACGAAGAGGTAAAAATGGGATTATGCCCAAAAAGGAGTGGTGTGTGTGTGTATGTGTGTGTGTGTGTGTCAAGGTACTGGACAAGACACATAATTACTCCAACACGTTACTTAACTGCATTCTTTAGTCACATAAACAAGTTACCTTCAAAGCAGTCTTACCAATTATCGTCGTGTTTGTCTTATACTCTCTCGTCTTACCGCTGAACACTCAACATCCTTCCTCAACTTACCTGCAAAAGATAAAATATACAATTATTAAACAGAAACATTATAACGTTAATAAAAAAAATACCTTTCTAACTCAATATTTCTTCCCTGACATTTATACAATAACAACATTAACACAATAATAATAATAATAATAATAATAATAATAATAATAATAATAATATAATAATAATAATAATAATAATAATAATAATAATAATAATACAGATTAAAAATATATTAAGCCCGTTGTCACACCTGTAATTTGACCTTCATGCAGCTGTCACCTTGATCTCTTCACACAGAAACTTAAGAGCTCCTTGTGGGGGACCTCAATGCCCGACATCCCAGTCTCTGCTCCCAGCGGCCCTACCCAAACTCCCGGGGTAACTCCTGACTTTCTTACCCACAAACCACTGATGACCCTGTTACCAACACCTCTTCCCTCCCTGACCAGATATCCCCCCTCCTAGAGACAGGCCTGACACTTGACGTTATTAGGGACCTGCCACGCTTTGCCATAAACAGATAAATTGTACCGGGAATTTTCCCCCCTACACACTCATCATTCTGTTACTTTAGGTAAATTGCTGACAAAACCCATGACCCTTCAGGCTTTTACGCCCTTAATGCACGAGTCATAAAGGCAAGCATGACTTACACATGCTTCCCAGATGGGCGCTGTAAACGCTTTTGCGCTTCGCCTTGCACCACAGGATGACAAGGGGGTGCCCAATAAACTAGCCCCCTCGGGGGCAAAAAAAAAAAAAAGAAATCTGGTGTTTACAACTTTATTTAAAGATACTTAACACCCATGAAGTTTTAAAAGTGTCACCCCACGATAGTTAAGTTCCGAGAAAACGTTTTGACCTCTGACCCTTGTGACCTTCACCAGGGGCGCAAGAAACAGCGTACGGACACACAGACAAGGCAGACATACGAGTGTGTATCGGTAAGCTGTTGTGGTCTCCCTCTGGTGAGAAGAATGCTAACTAAAAACCTCGGTACCTCATAGGTTATAAACGTTCATTGAGCCTTTTGTGTAGCGTTAAGTTTATTCAACAAAAAGTAGAGGGTATACGAGAGAGAGAGAGAGAGAGAGAGAGAGACCCGTGTTGTCAGCAGCAGGTGGGGGTCGGGTATTCCCCGTCAGCACCCACCGGGAGAAAGCCACCTACTCCAGGAAAACAAACCCAACATAACACATTCCAGCTATAACACGAGAGCTTTCTGTACACACCGTTACCACCAGCTCCCAAAAAGAGGAGGGGGTGTTACGGAGTGTTACGTCGACTCTGAGAGGTTACGTGGCTAGCGTTACTTACGTTTGTTATCATTTTCATCATTATTAATTTCTTTTTATTTATTTCTTCTTATTATTATGTTGGTATTAGTATTCATGTCATAATATATGTCAGTTAAGTCACAAGTCTTTCTGGAACACAGTTTTCCTCCGTGACAGTGAAGACACATTAGCGGCTGTCAGGCGGTCATGACAGCCTCAGAGATAAGCTTCTGGTGGGTGGTGGTGGTGGGTGAACGTGTTTAACATTCACCACCCATTTCACGCCGATCACACACACACACACACACACACACACACACACACACACACACACACACCGTTCCTAGAACCTTCATGCTTTCCCTGACAAGATCTAAAACGGGATTTTATTTATCGCAATCTTTTCTTTACTGATATATTTATTCATATTATTAAGAATTATATTAAGAATTATTTACTGTACGCCCCCCCCACCCCTACACACACACAAAAAACATCCAGACACACACACACATACACATACATAATTTATGCACATACACGTCGCAGTCTGTACATCACTCTCTTATTTTACATAAAGTATAATACTAACAATTTCTGTCTACACGCCGAGGAGGTAGTGGGGTAGGATATACTGAGGTAGTAGATATTGAGGCAGGAGGTAATGAAGTTGAAGATATTGAGCCAGTAGATAGTGAGATAGGGATAGGCAGGAGATAGTGAGGTAGTGATATAAGAGACAGTGAGATAGTGTCCGTCTGTCTCTCTGTCAATGTCTCAGTGTAAGTCTCCAGCATAAAGCGAGAACAGTACGAGATAAACTAGTATTACTTGTCTTATTTACTGTTTCTTTTATATTCATGACAACAACCTTTACAGCTGATACCTTTAAGGGCACACAAGGTCAGAGGTCAAGGTCACAACTCTGGTTCAAAATAAAAGGCAATACTCAACGTGAATTGGCACTTCCCTCGAGTGTAGTTTAGGTGTGTGTGTGTGTGTCAATAACGGAGTAACTAATCTAGACACACAATAAAAGTTTCCTGATTCGGCAACACACTAATACAAACGTCACACATCACTCAGCTAAGACAACGCATGAAAAGCATTAAATAAAAAACTCATATTAGCTTCTCTTAAATTCTCATGACCACAAAGATTAAATAAGGTTTTCTGTGAGTACAATAACAAGTTTTCCTAAGTTGTGGGACAAAAAACGATAATTATCCATCAGGGAGACAATACTCTATTACCATGTCTAAAAAAACCAGTTGCCGTGTACGATAATCACCCAAGAGCCTCGGTATCTCAAGTCTAATTTCTCAGGTGTGCATATGTTAAAATTTCCTCGTAACTAAATACATAAGAAAGCATTTAAGAGGTTGATTTTAAGCCATAATATTAGAGAGATATATTACAAATGGCTCCAAAAATACACCAAGACTCAACCTTTAGGAACTGGAAATATAAGAAAAGCACGAAAGAGGTTGACGTCATGCGATAGCTACATTAAGACTCAACCGTAAGATACGCTACATTCTTTTGACATCACTAAAGGTAAAGACAAAAATCACATGTTATTTCTAAGACTCACGTCACTCTTAAGAATAATTTACTTCACTGGATATAATAAACACAAGAATATTAAATTACTCTCCCGGACAACCCCATATTTTGTTCGAGATGAAAACAAGCGATAAGGAATTCGATATTAAATCATTATAAAACAACGGGATATAATTTAGATAAGTCTACCCTAAAACTTCTGATGCGGAACATGGGTAGGTAAGGATAGGTTAGGAAAATATATTGAAATTTACTTTTTTTGTTATTCACTATAAGATTTATAGCCAAAGATTAAGTAAATAAAATCTAAATAAAGGTCTATGAACCGCTACCTGATTTTAAGCAACAGATTATGTCAATAAAATATGAATAAAAATCAACAAACCATTACAAGATTTTAACAGATATATTATGTAAACACAAAAAACTAATAAAAATATAATGAATAGTGTGTGTGTGTGTGTGTAATAATAATAATAATGATAAAAATAATTTACGGTTTATTGAAAGAGCATAGCAGCTAGAAGGCTGAAAATATACAGTTACATATTTGGGGAATGGGTTTCGATTTACAAATAATATACAAGTAACATAAGTGATACAAATAAGATATATAATAACTAGATGGGGAAAAGCTCAAACTACAGGGCATTTTAACATAGTGACAGTGTAAGAAGTAGGATTTACTGGGAGTGAATACACTGGTTTATTACAAGTTATTGATAATTTTTACAATGGTTGGGACTGGGCTGTTCTTATAGCGATCAGTTCGTGCACGTATGGGCTGGATGCGGTTGTGGTGTCGAACAGCAATTCTCGGGCTAGGGATCTCAGGTGGTAGTAGGAGCCGGTGTGTGTGTGTAAAATGTTAAAATAAAATCTACAAGCTGGAAACGATTAGGAGCTGGCCAAGTGAACGGCCTGACCTGGTGAACGCCCATCAGGTAGACCCCCCCCCCTCACGTTCCGACGTTAGACAGATGACACCAGATTAGACCCAGGTGAACGTCCCGATCAGGCCAGGTAGGAGGGCAGACTAGGCCAGGTGAGGATGACTGGCAGAAGCTACATTAGGTGGGGGGAGGGAGGGAGGGAGGTAGATGTAGGAAGGTGGAGGGAAGAAAGTAGAGATACAGAGATGGAAGGAGGGAAGAGGAGGAGTGAAGGAGATATAGGGAGAGACACGGAAGGTAGAAGGGAGATTGAGGAAGGGTTGTGAAAGGAGGAAGGTAAAGAGAGAGACAGAAGGAGGGTACTGAAGGAAGGGAGGGAGAGAAATAGTGGAAGGGAGATACAGTGAGGGAGATGGAGTGAGAGGGAGAGAGAGCCACCATGACACTGTAACCCAGTATGAGGACTTCGTGGTTCTCTGACAATACTCGTGAAAGTGAGGTGTGTGTGTGTGTGTGTGTGTGTTGTCCAACGGGTGAATCAACAATCAAATGACGTGTGTGGTAGTGAGCAGGCATAACAGGTCATTCTATACCCTG